CTCGCCCGGCGCGTCGGCGAGACGTGGCGCAACAAAGCGCTCGCCAACTTCGCGCCGTACTCCCGCGTGTGTCGCGGGTGCAACGGAGTGTCATAACAGCTCTCTAGGCCCGTAAAAAAATCCGCAGCCTCCGCACACGCGCGCTCTTCCAACCGCGTCTGCAACTCCACCACGCGCGCACACGGCGACACGCGCCACCGCCGCCGCGCCACCGGCGTCGGTGTCAAATCCGCCACTGTCGTCTCGCCAGCGACTTCGGTCGGGGCGGCCTCCGTCAGCCCGTCTCCAGCCAGATCGCCGGTGGCCAGGTCGGCCCCGACCAGTTCGGTTCCGGTTCGGTCAGCGTGTGGGATGGTCCCCGTAGAGGGTTGATCAGTAACGACGTTTTTACCCGGGTCTTGTTCCAGGTGGCGGACTGAGGTCGGATCTTGCTGCGGCCATCGGTTCAGCGGCATGTTCGCGTCTTCAATAGCACTCGTCTGCACTCCCACGCTTTGGATCCGGCTCAGTTTTATGCGCTCTTCGGGCCTTGCCGGTTCTCCCCCATCCGGTTTGGCCGCTTCCTGTTCATCCACCCCTTGGTCCACGAAACTTGTAAAGTTCGCTGCAGAGCTGGACGCGCAGCTGGGAGCGAGGGAAGAGGCGGTAAGGTTGTAGCCACAACAGCTGCACTCACGAGCGTCCGTTGCGGTTTTGCTGCGCATCGCCCCGCTGGTGGTGGACCTGCTGCTTCTCTGTCCCACAGAGACGCTCCCACCAACAGATCTCGCCCCCCGCCGTCTGGCACCCTGCCACTCCATCCCTCCTCCAAACTCGTTTCCATGATCGTTGTCTTTATTGTGAAGGAGGTTTCCCTTAGGGTCTAACTTTCCCTCATCTTCCATACAGTTCAGCAGATTACTCTGTAAGATTGCTCCGCACGGCGGCGTAGATCCCCCGCACTGCGGCGTGGTTCCTGTCCGGGTAGTCGGGGTGTCGTCGCCGTCCAGAACAAACCGTCCCGAAGGAATATACAAACTTCCCAAAGATTCTTGGGGCTGATGGCCATCAAATAGTGAGCCACCAGAATGCCCAATACGCCGAGCACACTTGCAACACACATGAGGGGACGATCCGGCTTCACCGTGCCGGGACGATCCGGCGTCACCCGGGGGGCCCGAGCAGACATCGGACAACGACGAACCACTCGGCTGCTTCATCGAGGCCGAGCTGCAGTCCGGATCGTTATACGCCTGGCACGCATCCGACATAGGTCCTCCCCTAGATGCCGTATGGGGAGAACTTGATTGCGCGCCATTTGCTAGCTCGCCATTTGTTCGCGCAGATTGTGTTTGCGCAGAAAGTGTGTGCACACGATTTTCGGCTCTGAATTTAATCATCTCGTCTTCGGATATGTCTCGAGACGCCTTTCTAGACATGTCTCGGCACTCCTCGCCGGAGGGCAGTGGATTTGCGGTGTAATGAGTACGGCAAGTGGAACAGAGCCGCGATCTATCGCTGACGTGAGATTCGCATAGTTGGGAGCCCGAGCTGCGCTCATCGTGTTGGGGCAGCTGGCTGGGGTCGGTCTCTTCGGTAGAGGAAATGCTGGAATGTGGCGGCGAGATGGCGGAGAGAGTGGGGTTGAAATATACGGCACTGCCTCCCTGCGAATGAAACGGTGCACCGCGAGACATTCCTACCTGAGACATTCCTACCTGAGACATTCCTCCATGCGCACCATGAGAGATTCCACCATGCGAGCCACGATTGACTCCTCCGTGAGAGGCATGGGAGGTACCTCCATGCGAGATACCTCCATGGCTGCTCAGGGTAGTTTGGACCATCCACTCGCCTTCGCTCTTGGGCCTATGCGTCCAGAGGTCCGCGTCGAACTGTTCCCAGTCTTCGCTCCGTCCCCTCGGCCACAACGGTTCCGCAACGGACTGACTGCTTCGCAGACTCCGCATAGGATAGTGTACCAAGTCTCGGCCTCCTCCAGAACTGGTCTCGAACTTGATTCGCGTGGTGCTCAGTTCGCGGCGTGCGGAAGTCTTCAGCGAAGACTTTACAGGTCGTCTCTGTCGCGGCCGCGGAGTTGGGCTTAGCTTTGGTCGGCTCTGGGCCCGTACGATCTTCGGACAGGCTGGCACAACCTGAGTGTCTGAGCCGGAGTTTTCTCGTAAGTACCAGGCGTCTGCTACCGTGCTCAAACCTGCACCGGAGAGCGAACCTGCACCGCCGCTCCCTTTTGCCCATCGATCCACCCACCGCTCCGTCGTGTGGGGCCTGTGCTCCCGCCTCCCGCAAACATTGTCCCAGGGAACCGCCTCATCTGCATCGTCCAACTCATCTTCCGTCTCTTCAAGCTCGTCGTCATCCAGCTCGTCTTCAACGTCTTTCCGGGCAAAGTCTTTCCTGTCAACGTCCTTGTCGAAAAAGTTCCGCTTCACACTCGAGTTCACGTCCGGCTTTATATTCAGCTGTACACTCGTCTTTGGCTCCAATGCGTGACTTGCGGTGCCCCGGGGCCCTCCACTCGCTCGGGGCCGTTCACTCGCCCGGGACAGCTGTTTGATTCGGGGTTGGGGTCCTTCCGGGAGATTGAGGTAATTTTCACTAATGGCATCCGCCATCACTGTAGAGCTGGCTCGGACAACCTCTTGGCAGTCTTCACTTAGCTGCTTAGACCCCATTTATCCAGCAAAAATGTCATCAGGGGAATGCTCTTCGATACCACCATGTAACATCCACCGACTGACCCGTACCGTGGCTTCCCAGATTAGGGCTAATATCGCAGAAAGTAAGATACACCCTTGCGTGTGAGCATACGTCCTTACCTGTTCCGACTCCCTTTGTGTATCCACGCCTCGCACCCTGTCCTGACCACATCCCGCCCCCGGTCCTGTCCTGGCGCATAATTTCTGTTCAGAGCGAACACTGCCGCCGCCTTGTATAGCGTGTATCAAAGGGATTTACGCTGGAAGGAGTTTCCAGCTGACTCAGAGAGAAATCATCGGGAGTGCGAAATTAAAGCGCGATCCGTGCTTGACGTTGCGGCTTGATCGTGCAGGGTTATCTGGCCGACATGCATTGCTTGAACCGCGGCCTCAGGACCCTGCTCATCCGTTGCAGATCTTTGATATTGGACCGTCCCACAAAAGTCTGCGCGAAATAATAGAACCAGACACCCATACCAACGGCAACCTGGTGCAGGACTTCAGCTCTTTCAATCAGCTGGGAGGTGTCTTCGTAAAAGTACGTTCCTTGTCAGAATTGGCCGTCGACGAAGGTGACGAAGTTTGGTTCGAATATTACATCCCTGAGGAATTGCCTTCGGAAGTGGCATTCGGAAATACCAATGCTTACCGACAACCCAGCGGTATGACAGGTGCCAAACTGATAGTAGAAAGAGGGCCGCAACTGAGTGAGAAGGACGCCTTCTGGGACCTCATGAGAATGCACGAGATACCACGAGAAGTACGATACTATGTAGTTGTCGCCTTGAACATGCTCGGGGATCCGGAACATGACCTATTCGAAAGGTTTACTAACGTGCCCTTTGAAGATCTAGTAAGCACACACCACTAATTGCCACTAATTGCCACTAATTATAGATTATTTTCCTTCTTTATAGAAAGCGATGTTGCAGCGTCCTGTGTCCCCGGAGACTGTGTTACAGTTGGAGTTAATGAGGCGCAGGATCCACGAGTTTCTTCCGTGGAGGTCTAAAAGTCGTCCGTTGATTTTGAAGGCATATCAGGGCACGGTGATTGCAGAGGTGCGATGGTTCGGAGCTCATATTGTACCTAACAACGCTCCGTATGGTTTCCCGCCCGTTTCAGAAGAAGATGTGCGACCGGTATCGACTGGGGTGTCGACCGAAAATAACCACGCTGCCGGGAAAGTCGCACAGGATGAGAACAATCGGACCCTCATCCCCACCCCAGCAAGTACCGCTGCTTCCACCAATACCAGTGCCACCGACGGTACCGAAGCCGACAGACTCACGTCCGAAGTGGAAACCAAACCGGAAGATGAACGCAACGGTAACGAACGCAACGGTAACGAACGCAACGGTAACGAACGCAGCACATCCTACTCGGAAGGGTCCAGTGCGCGCTGCGATACTTCCGGCCCTGGTCCCGGCGAGGTGGGTAGTGGTGAGGTAGACTGTGGTGAGATGGACCGTGGGGAAAGGGGCCCTGGGGAAACGGGTCGTCCAACAGAGACCCTCGGGTCGCTGCGGCAGAGACCCTCGGGACAAAGCCGCTCGAGTCACGGCAGCGAGGCCAAGGCGGTGTCATGGTGGGAGACGTGTTACTGGACGTCGAATGCACTCCAAATGAAGGTGGACGTGCACCCAAGTATGCAGCCGTACGTGATCCAAAATGGGTTGCTGAACGACCGATACGCGTGCGACCCATACTTCCAGAACGTGGGGCTGGGACTACCGCCGCTGCCGGGCATGCTACCGCACCCGGGCGCGGAGGAGGTCGCATCCTCGCGGTATACAGCCAACCCTAACCACCTGGTCCAGTCCGGCTCTGGGCCATCCACCGGAATCGGGCCCACGACCGTTGGGACCGGAACTGGAACCAGGACCGGAGCCGGAACCAGGGCCGTTGCCAGAACCGGAGCGAGCCCGAAATGCACGGACGAGAGCCGGCTGGCGGCGGGCGCGCCGTTTGCGTTGGACGCGGCTCAGCTGGCGGAGGTTTATCGATCCTCGGAGATGTCGGAGGCGCTGGCAGAAGCGATGCTGAGTCGGCTGCGGACGGCGCGTCCGAGTGGTTCGCCGGCGAGTGCTCCTTCGTCGGCGCGACCGGTGGCCAAGGCGGAGCTGGCCGTTGCGCGTTCTGGTTCCGACCCCGTGTTGACCACGACCGCCAGCGACGCAGACGGGGACGCGAAACTGCCCTTCTACCTGAGCGCGGAACCGGAGTTGGCCGAACTCTCAGCCGTGCCCTCCTCGGCCGTGCTCTCCTCGGCGGTGCCGTCGTCCCTAAGACCCTCGGTCTCTGCACCCGCCGACGACCCGAAGGACGCCGGTTCGAAACAAAGTGGCGCCAAGGGAGGCCAGAAGGAAGGCGGCCGTGAGGCGACGATGGTGGATGTTCTCAAAGCACGGGTCATTGAGGGTCAGGGTGGAGGGACGACGTTGGCTCCGGCATGGCACGAAGACGAGCGGCGGATCGTGGACCCGATCAACTTGGCGCGTTGCGAGAACTGGTTGGCACGGACGCCTTTGCAATGTCTGCACTACGACAGTTTGCCCGAAGATTGCTTCCCGGAAGTGCGTTTGCCGCCTCTATTCGGTAGCGGGTATCATCTGACCATCCGGTTCAAGAAGGGGCAATTTGTGATCAAAGAAACGTTTCCCGCGGATTCGGCGGATTACTCCAGTCTACCTCCGTGTCTGCGGGAGGTATGCTACCACCGGCCACCGCGTCCGTCATATTTTAGCCGCGAAGGGTCGCGTGTTACTTTGGCTCCGAGTTTCGCGCCGCCAAAAAATGCAGAGTTCATTCCTGGTAGCCAACACCCTTGGGCGCCGCAGGTAGACGTGATTGATGCGGTCTGGTTGCGGGTGCAGCCGTGCCAGCGCAAGAAGGAGGGCGAGACAGCTGATTATTACAATCGCGTGAAGTGCCACCTTTTCGGTCGCGGCCTGGTGCTGAAGAACGGCGACATTTTCCGACTCGGTACGCTCGAGTTCCAGGTGCGCCGCTTCAACGAGGGCTCGGCAGGGCTGCAGGGTTGTCGACTGCGCATGGAAGACGAAGAGATCTGCATCCAGGACCTTTCTCTGAGCGACGAGATACCCATTTCATTTTACGGGATTTACGACGGACACGGCGGCCGTGAGTGCGCGTCGTTTTTGAAGGAGGAGCTCCACTTGAGCTTTGCGCACCACGTGGGTATTCTCACGGGCCATATCGACCTGTCTTACGTGGAGCCCGTGGTGTTCGAGGCGCTGTACAGAAGTTTCATGGCGACGGACCGCGCCTTTTTGAAGCAACAAGTCGCCAAAAAGTGCCAGACAGGTCCTGGTGGTGCTGCAGTAGTGGTGGTCATCGCCGGAGATCAAATCTGGTGCGCAAATACGGGCGACGCGCGCTGTCTCATTTCGCGCAAAGGCACGGCGCTGCAACTCTCAGTTGATCACAAACCCGACCGGGATGATGAACGACGACGCATCGAGGCTGCCGGCGGCTACGTCCGCAACCGCCGTATCCTTGGCAGGCTGGCTGTTAGTCGGGCTTTCGGAGACATCGAGTACAAAAACGTCGGCAACGCCGGGCTCTCAGCCTTGGTCATCGCTGACCCAGAAATACGCTACCTCAGTACCATCTCGGCCGACGACGAGTTCCTTGTCCTCGCCTGCGACGGCCTCTTCGACGTCTTCTCCTCCCAAGACCTAGTGTGTTATATTCGCGCACAACTGAAGAAACAAAAAGATGCGCAAACGATCGTCGAGGAACTCGTCCTCGAAGCCATCGAGAAACGCTTCTCCCAGGACAACGTCTCCGCCGCAATCGTTCTACTCAAATAAGCACTGCACGCCTACTGCGCACCCCGCTAAGGTGCGCACCCCGCTAAGGTGCGCACCCCGCTAAGGTGCGCAAAAGCACGAATTTAATTTTTGACCACCATGCGGTATGTCAAAGCACTATTTTTTGCTTTGCTGTCAACCTATGCCAACGCTCAAAACACGCGCGACCGATATATACAACAGGTAGGCCACTGCCACCACAATCCATGCACGCAAATCGCGCACACACGCACACACTCACAAACATCTCTCCATTGCAGATCGGCGAGGAACTCGCTGCCAACGGCGTGATTCTGCCCATGGCCATGCCCACGCCCACACCGATCCCGAAGGTGGAGGGATCGAGGCCTGTGCGTGTCGTCAAGTCGAACGTTACCAAGGAGGAGGCGGTAGTTTTGAAGGAGGCAGTCGCTCCGGTCAAGCCGGAGGAGGAGGCCCCAGCCAATAAAGAAGCTGCACCGCAGCCGTCCCAGACCGCCGCATCCCAGACCGCCGCATCCCTGTCGACGCCCGTACCACCTCACCCGAACGTAGAGCCAAAGGACAGTTCGGCACAGCCGCCAGCTCCCCCGACGGCGACTGTCCCAGCGGCACCAGCTTCCCCGGCGGCGGTCCCAGCGGCACCAGCTTCCCCGGCGGCGGTCCCAGCGGCACCAGCTTCCCCGGTGGCACTCCCAGCAGCGGCACCTGCTCCTGAGGCGGCCCCCTCGAGTTCCGAACCGGCGCCGGCGGTGGCTGGTGATGGGGAGGAGGCATTGCGGGAGCGCGAGGAGGACTTAAAGAAGCGTGAGACGAATTTGAAGGAGCGCGAGGACTTGTTGCTGCACGTGGGTGCCCGAGCTGGCAGTTTTGGGCAGCAATTGCAGAAGCGCGAGAGCGAGGTGGTTGCGAAGGAGGCGGCGCTGGAGGCGCGCAGCCGAGAGGTGGAGACCCGAACGGCTGCGTTGGAGGCTCAGGAGCTCGAGCACACACGTGTGCTGGCCGAGCGCACGCGTGTGCTGGAGGAGAAAGATCGCGCGATCGCGGAGCTGGAGGCGAAAGAGCGGGCGATCGCGGAGCTGCAGACCTCGTTGGACGGCCGTCAAAAGGCAGTCGACGACCACCAGCGGGCGGTAGAGGAGCAGCAGCGTGTTGTGGAGGAACACCAGCGCGCAATCGAGGAAAGGGAGCGTCGGGTGGCGGATCAGGAGCAGCAGGCGGCGAGGCGGTTGCAGGAAGCCGCTGGTGCCACTGTGGATGCAGCCCAACAGGAAATCGCGGCTAAGTTGGCGGCCAGCGAGACTGCAAATCAGGAGCTGACTGCCAAATTGGCTGCCATCGAAAGTGTGAATCAGGAACTGACTGCGAAGTTGGCGGCCAGCGACAGTGCCAGTCAGGAGCTGACTGCGAAGTTGGCTGCCAGCGACAGTGCCAGTCAGGAGCTGACTGCGAAGTTGGCTGCCAGCGACAGTGCGAGTCAGGAGCTGGCCGCTAAGCTGGCTGCGGGCGAATCTGCGAACCAGGAGCTGACTGACCGGTTAGCTGAACGCGAACGGGCGGTTTTGGAGCAAGAGCGGGACGTGGCTGAGAGAGTTAAGCGGCACGAGGATGCGCTTGCTGAGTACCGCGAAGGTGTCCGACGTGAAGAGGAAAAGTTTCTGACGGAGGACCCCGCGGAATTCGCTCGATACCAGCGGTCGTTGCGGGAAATGGCCGAGCTGCGGGAGTGGCTAAGACAGTGGAAAGTGCGCGCGGTCTTGAAGCGTGTCAAGGTTCGCGATCTGACGCGCATTGTCTACGTTGCTTCGGCTATGTTTGCTTCGGATGTGCACCAGGAGCTACAGGAATTAGCTTGGACCGAACGTCTTAAGACTGCGTATTATGGCATCTTTGGCTATCGGAAGGTGGGACAAGTGGCCTTTGCCTGCTGTCTCCTCAGCCTGGCTTACCTATATCGACAGATTCGCACTCTGCATTTGGTCAAAGACGACCAGGATGCAATCTATAGATACCAAAAGCTGCTGCTAGACCAAATGAACCTCGCTACCGAGGAGATGAAACGGGGCTGCTTTACCACCAACCGCTACTGCGAGAACGCCGTTACGGACCTCAGAGTACACATCGAAAAACAGGAACTACTGCTCAAGGGGACTGAAACCGGACCTTCCTCACAGCTTGCACCCATCCCCGTAGACTACTCTGCAGACATGGACCCTAACAGAAGCCCAAGAGAATCCTTCAATGGCGGCCCTCTGCCACCGGCTGGTGGCCCTCTATTACCGGCTGGAGGCACTCTACCTCCGGCTGGCGGTACCCTATCAGCGGCTGGCGGTACCCTATCAGCGGCTGGAGGCACCCTACCACCCTCTGTGGGCACTCTGCCACCGGCTGGCGGTACTCTACCACCCTCTGTGGGTACTCTACCGCCCTCTGTGGGCACCCTACCACCTGCGGACGGTGCTCTGTCACCTTCTGTGGGAACCCTGCCACCCTCTGTGGATACGATACCGCCGTCTGGGGGTACGATAGCGCATGCTGCCGAATTCCTGCCCACTGACGGATACCAACCCATGGGGGGTTTCCAACCGATTGGCGGATTCCAGCCCAATGGGCCTGTATCGTTCCAACCTATGGGTATGCCGCAGAATGGCACACAGCCTGAAGGCCCCGTATCGTTCCAGCCTATGGGTATGCCGCAGAATGGCACACAGCCCGAAGGCCTCGTATCGTTCCAGCCTATGGGTATGCCGCAGAATGGCACACAGCCCGAGGGACCTGTGTCATTCCAGCCTATGAGTATGCAGCCCGAGGGCCCCGTCTCGTTCCAGCCGAATGGCATATCGTTAAATGGCGTGCAGGCTGAAGGCGTTGTACAGCCAGCGGATGGGCCTCAATCGATGTGTGCAATATACCATGGGTTCACCCAGGATGAAGGATTTGAGCGTGCTGTGTTAGATACGTATAGGCAGTTGTATTCAGGCGATTCAAATGCAATTGGTCGTGGCTTGTTCGAATTGGTTTTGAACGTCATTCGGCACATCCACTCGCTGCGTGGTGATGTAGCGTCTTTGACTCATCTGGTTCAGTTCGTTATTGATAGGCAGGAAATTTGTCTGCGATCGCAGGATGAGATCCTGGACGGTATGAGAAGGGAAAAGGATAAGGTGCTGTTTGGCATTCGTTTACTGAATGACAAGTTGGACTTGAATAATTTGGAATCTATTGCGCTAAGCGAGGCGGTATATAATGATGTCGTCAGGCAGATAAGCTCCACCGAGAAATGGCTGCCTCTGGTACAACTTTTGGAGCATTTCGTTTCGGACCCGAAGATGCTTGCAGCTGGTAACGAAGACTCGTCGACTCGGTGTGTTTTCACAGAAACACTCGAGATTTTCAAGGCGCTCTGTCCCACCACCGACTCAGTTGGTATGGCAACTGAACTGTCCAAGACCCTCAAGCCGCTTGAAAGCTTCAGAGCAGTCGTATTTGGCGCAGCTCAAACCACCGGAAAATTTTCCAGTGATGAGTTCACTAGCCTGATCAAAGACGCCTACCCACCACACCCTGACGACCGCAAAGCGCTAAGGGACTTCCTTGAATATCCTAAAGGAATAAGCAATGCAGAATACCCGGTGTTTGAGCAGTGGAAAGAGAGCGCAAGTCCGCAGGATTTCGAGGAATAAGAAAAAAATTCTAGCGCTGGAGAGCCGAGCCCTCGGTAGATGAGGCCTTGAAGATCCAGGCACCGAGAGGCCCTAACTGATTAACACCACTTGGGCGATGAGTGCTGAGCTCTCAGTTCATTTCAATCAGCCGGAATGTGAAGGGGAGGCCGAAGGGGACGTCTGTAGTGGGTGATAGTGGCCACCTGCTCTAGCACGAGTTTAGACGACGCCCAGGATGGTCTGTAGTGGGTGATGTCTAAGTCCCTTGTGGCGGCAGGGGATGATGGGCTCACCTATTCGGGCATCTTTTGGTCTGCGAAGTTTAAACGAACTGTTTTGTGGCGACGGACGGTCCTCACCTCTGTGGCGGCAGAGATATGAGGCCGCCCGCTCGGGCATACGAGTGTAGGCAGGCGATCGAAGTCTCTGAAAGTCTGTGTGTGTTGTAGTCGATGATGTCTAAGTTCCCTGTGGCGGCAGGGGGTAATGATGGGCTGCAGGCTCTCTGGTGGTGGTGGTGCCCTAGCTAGCTAGTTTCGAAGTGGTAGCCAGTCCTCTTCGTCTTTGTGGCGGCAGGCCCTGCCTGGCATGGCAGCCCGAGTCCGGACGGAACGTCCTCCGGCATGTATGGCCTGTCTGGGCTGAGTGATGATGTCCGAGCTCCCTGTGGCGGCAGGGATGTGGGGCTCACCACTGACTGCCGAATCAATTTATTCCAACAAACGTCCGTGCGCGAACGTGCACCCCGCTGCCGTACTCTCTAAGTTTTTTGGCGGTCGATATTGTAGTCGGCGTGGGCTACTGCCACCCCGGACTAATATTATGGCTCCAGAACCTCCATTTCAGGAAGATAAACCTGAACTGCAAGCGGAGTCCTTTACTGCCCCATTATTTTTACAAAGAGAGCTACTTAGCGACCAGAATGTTTTAGACTGTAAGCAAGCACACAAGCAGCTGTATAACTTCTTGACATGACATGTCGTCCTTCCCCCGCTACCGCCCGGACAAGCCACCCGGACAAGCAGCCCGCAAGCGTGGCAGGCCCCTGTTGACAGGTCCACCCTGTCATGATCGCAGCGTTCACGGTCTTCGCCCCTTCACGGACTTCTTCTGGAATCCACTAAGCATTCATTCTCCGCAGACTTTTACGAGTCCAAGTTCTTTGACACGAGTTCCGCAAATCAGCGACGGCGGAAAGGCCACAGAGTTGCAGAGTAAGTAGGTACGCCGGCTGTTAATTTGAAATCGTCGTAGGGACGGAGAAGGCGTGGAGTACGTGCTGCTGCTCTCAAATGCGGCCGGAAAGGGGCAGCTGATGCAACCCCCCGTCGGGTACCCGTACAACGTCCAAAACCAATTTGGTGTGCATCTTATAAGCCGTGTCAACAAACGGAATAACGTTCAGGTACCGGAGCGCGTTTACTACAGCATTTCCGGCGTCATATACCAGGCACCCGCGCTACAGAAACTGGTCATACATAAACTGTACAAAGCAGCAATCACTCTCGACAAAGTCCTGTCCCTTCTCACTTCAATGTGCCACTGGAATGTCCTCTCCTCCTACAATTGGAAAGCTGCAATCGACGTCCTCTCTATCCTCAAAGACGTCAAGTAAGCATAAACACTGACTGGTCGCCCACATCTGGTCGCCCACATCTGGTCGCCCACATCTGGTCGCCCACATCTGGTCGCCCACATCTGGTCGCCCACATCCGGTCGCCCATATTCGGTCGCCCATATTCGGTGGACGTGCGGTCGCACACACGATCGATCACACACAATCGTCTTTAGTGGAACAGAGAACGACGTTCAGCGCGGCGACTGCTTCGAAGACGACTTGTTGTTGTCCTCCGACGAAGACAGCGACGAAGTGACGGCAGACGACCCGACCACCGACGAGGCGATGGCAATGGAACCGGGCGCGAGCGACGCCCCCACCCCTCCGGTGGCTCCGGGCAGTGCGCCTTGGTTCCGGTTGCCGCCGATAACGGGCACGGAGCGGCGTTCCCAGGATGACGTGCCGCTTTCGTTTAAGGGGCTGGGCGGCAACCGCACGTCGGTGCTCTTTAACTTCCCACCGAGCCATGCCTCGATCGTGATCCAGAACGAGTACGAGCAGCTCTTCCGCGCAAGCCAGCGCATGGCGAACATCTACGTGAGCGAGGCAGCTGAGCGACCGCGTGTGGAGGCGGCTCGGCGCGACATTTTCATGAGCTACCATCAGGCACTGGACAGTCTGGAGTTCTCGCTCCTTGATTCATACCGTGCGCGCAAACTGCCCGCATATCCGCCTCCCTTTTTCGGCTGCAACCCGCCGGTCGGCAGCCCGCAAGTGGACCCGGAAGTGCAACCAACCGTTGCGGCTTCGGAGGGTGTTTCCTCGCAAAGCTAGAGGCTGTTTCTGGTGTCCGTGCGTTTCAAAAGCGGTTTGGCCTTGGCCGGATTGCTCGGCGAGTCGGCTGCGACAGAGCGGGAGGAGGAATGTTTTTTCTTGCCTCCAAGGAAGCGAACGGTAGAGTGCAACGCGCCAGTCAACCCCTTCTTCTTTTTCTTCTTGTGCGTGTTGTCCGCCATGACGGAGACGGAGTCGAGGTTGACGTCCTGACTGGCGACGTCTTGGCGTTTGGCCTGGACCTGGGCAAAGGTGCAACCAGTAGCTTGTAGCAACTGCGCCTCCGTAATGCAGAAGAGGATGGTGGGCTTCTCCCGTGGCGCTGCCTGGATCTCGGGCTCGCGACTACCTGCGTCGCGACTACCTGCGTCGCGGCTACCGGCCTCCCGTCCGCCGCCAAAATCGCGCACGCTAAACACATCGCTTTCGTAATACTGCTCCCGCCGCTCGTTCGAAAGATCCGTAGCCACAATCAGTCCCTGCCACAGCAAATACACACTCCCATCCAACACAAACGGCGTCTCCACAATACGCGGAACCAACAAATGCGTCAACCGCTCCAACTCCATCCAACCTATGCCCGAAAAGAGCGGCTCCGACACCAAAATCCGAGCCACCTCTTGCCGCACACGATGTAACGACCCCTTCGCAATCGCCGCAAAGTCACGCGCTTCCACACTCCACAACAAACAGTCCACGGCCGCCGTCACACGCACAGGCGCAACCGCCTCCTCCTCGGTGTACAACCGCGGCAACACCAAAGGCTCGAACAGGCAACTGCCTACTCCACTCTCCGCACCCACACCCGACCCTAGACCGGAACCTAGACCCGATCCCGCTCCTGCCGGGCCCGAGCCCGCTCCTGCCAGACCCCCGCCGCCCTCGTAGACGACGGAGCCCATGAGGACGAGTGTGACCTCGTTGAGCACACTGCCGGCGGCGACGACAACCCCGCCCCGCGGGACCTGCCACTCTCGACCAACACACTCGAGGCTGTTGCGCTCGGTCTCGTTAAAGGTGCAAGAGGGAAGGAGGCGGTTGAGCAGCTCGCCGCGGGTGGCGCGGCCCTTGCCCTCGAAGTCAGTACCGTAACTCGCCGCCAGCTGCGACTTGGTAAAGTTATCGCACGAATAGGCCGTAGCCAACACCTCCGCCTGCGAAGCACGTCGACCGTCATCTCGCCGCTCCAACGTCTCCTCCAACTCCAACCTCCGCCGGTCGCGCTCCTCCATCCAGCGCCAGTCGTCCGGCGGCGCACTCGCACTCGACAATGCCCGCGACTCCCCAGACTCCTCCGCCTCCCGCGGCGACGGCACTACCGCCACCCCTGACGACGGCACCACCCCTGACGCCGGCAACCCGCTCGACGCCGGCAACCCGCTCGTCCGCTCCCCGCTCACGCGCTCTGCGCTCGCACGTTCCAGACTAAACTCACGTGGTGGCGCCGGCGGCGGCGGCCCCGGCGCGGGCGCGTAGGCCGACAACTCGCGCAGCGGCCGCAGCGGCAGGCCGGGCACCCCTTCATCCGCCTCGGCGCCGCTGGCGGG